GCTCGCAGAACCGTGTGAGCGCAAGCGCGTAAGTGGCTGCTAAGGAAGACTTGAAAAGCTCTATTTTAATACATTTTAATTAATCTGTTGGGTCAAGAACGCAGCCCCTGTGATAAACGGGGTGGACTGGATTTGCAGTCATCTGGGTGCAATCAAAGTAAAAAAAAAGAAAGTGACTCACAAAGCTGTACAGCTCCCCCTCGGAGTCCAGGCACACAAAATGCTTTCTTCTCAGGTCATATATGGACACATAATTGCTCCGTTGTGTCTTCGTGGGATGAACAACTGCAAGGATTTGAGGCAAAATCAGATGACCACAATAAAAGCACCTTTTGGTACGAGACATGTAAAAGAGGCACGATTTTTCACAACTTGATTTTTAGTACAGCCTACGCCTGCACGAAGCAGCTTTAAAGCCTACTGAGAATCCACGCAGGTCAAACCAAGACGCAGAAGCGGACTCACCCAGAAAGTGGCCGAGAAGACGTTTCCTCACGGATCCAGCACTCTGCAGCACGTAGTAATGTGCCCTCCTGGCTGACATATCCCAATGCGTTCCTGAGCTCAAGCTCTGCTGAAGAGGTAGCTCCTCCGCGTCCTTTGACCTCAACTTACAATCCAAGGGTAAAGACACATGGGCGGCAATCAGGAGGAATGGGAAGAAAGTCGCTTGCATGGTCATTTGAGGAAGGCGCGCTTTCCTTACCAGAGCAGAGCGAGCGCCGTCGCTTAGAGTGTGAGGAGCTCTCTCTGCAGGAGGAGAAAGTCCAGCGGGCTTATTTAAACACAGGGTCGCGTCCAAATGACACAAAGCCTTGTTGTTTGTCAGTGGTTTAGGGTTGCCTTTGTGGAATTCCTGCAATCTTTAACTGGCAGCGCAACAAGGAATGTCGCTGCCTCTTTGGAAACTGAAACACATTATTTGCCGAGGCAGCCACTTGTGGAACTGTGTAAACTGCAAGTGCGTCACAAAGGAGGACAACAAGTTCTCTGCATTAGCCACATCGACATCATCCAAATAGTCTTCGAGTGGTCATTCTGTCACGTAAAACCATCCAGGGTGTATCACTTTCTCTAAGTCTACAGTTCCCTCCAAATGTTTTGGAAGGCAGGGTCCCTTCCTTTGTTTTTGGTTGCACACTCAACACATTTGGGTTTTCAGATCAAAAGATGAATATGAGACAAAAGTTCAGAAGTCCAACTTTTATTTCATGGTCTTTACATCTGGATATGTTAAAAACTCAGGACAGGGAACCTTTTGTTTGAAGCTTCTCACTTTTCAAGAGAGCAAAAGTATTGAAGCGGGCGTTATTAAATTTACTTAAAGTGAATAACATTTAATTTTTGGTGGCGGAATGCTTACCTGCAAGAACCGCATCAAGCCTGTGAACCATTGAATTCACTAGACTGTTGCATTCTTCATTTGAAATGCTTTGCCAGGGCTTCCAGCCAGATTCATTTTTGGATCTGAAATCCAATTGTCTTCAGTATACAACAAAAACAAAAAGGAATTGACTTTATGGTTCCAGTACTCTTTTAGGGGAAAGTATACATTTAATTTTTATCGGACTCAAACGTAACTCAAACATATACAGTACAGCCACTGAGGTAACATTGGAACTCTACTGCCAGTGTTATAAATATCATGTTGAATTTCTTCTGTTTAAAGTGAAAAAAGAAGAGAGGCGGGGTACAGGGGTAATTACAGGTCCGCTTCTCTCAACTGTCCTAGCAATCAATTAGTATACTTAACATTGATAACAAATCTTCAAGCAAATGCTTCCAAAGTATTGTCAAACATGGAAACTTGAAGACATCGCAACAGTTTTTACAAAATCTTTTTTTATTATCATTTCAGGAATACAGTTGAATGCTGTGCACAGCACATACGTACAAAAATAAAAGGAAACCCATTTGTAATATAGTCTTTTTTTTTAACGTACTCGCCATTGTATTTTTTTTTCTCAGAAACAAATGATTGAATAAGTCTGTTGTTTCAAACTAATTTACAATCATTTCAATAATCAGAACTAAGGCAGAAGGTGAGGTATATGTTCCAAAAGAGGAGGGGGACTCAAGAGGAAGCACTCTCCCCTCAGTGCAGGAATAGGAAACTGAGAGGAAAACAGAAAGGCTGCAGGCACACAGCGAGACACACACACACACACACACACACACACACACACACACACACACACACACACACACACGTACTGAGCACAGATCCACACGCTTGAGATTCCTGTAAACCAACATAGATCTTTAAAAGCAGCTGATGGTCAGCAAAACGAACAAGGGACCATTCCAAATTCCTTGTGCATAATAGGGCATTAAAGAAGTGGGTGTTGATTGACAGGGGATCTTTTTTTTTTCCTCACCATATCAATACTTCTCTGAGTGACATCAAAACTAAACCGGAAGTCTGCCTCAAAACAACATCATGCAACAGACTTTCTTGTCCTTTGAAGACACCCAACAAAGTTGCATTCGACGCAACATCGCTGCGAATAATAAAATATTCTCTTGCATTGCCAGTCCAACCACCTCGCGTTGTTTTAAGAGTGTCCTGTGCAGCACCCAAAAAAGAGACCGGGGATGGCAAAACAAAGCCAAAAGCAATTCACACAATATTGCCTTCACAAGCAAGTGCTTTGAAATGTGTAAATCGGACTTGTTTGCCAGGGACTCATCCCCTGTTGATAAAATTGCACCGCATATAATAATTTATCCTAATTTTAGTAGTTTTGCCAAAAATGTTACAATCATGCAATCATTCCAGCAAAAAAAAAAAAACCAAAAACCGAAGCTACAGCTGATTATTTTCTGATCCTCCATCATGTGTTAAAATTAACAAAACAATCATAATGGTGATCAAACCAAAAGATAGCTTTATCAGCAGTGATAATAGTCACAGTTTAACACCCTCAGCCTCCCTTGTAATCACAGTATTCAACATGTTTAACCAACCAAGCAACCGTTCTGGAAGCATTTGATTCTATTTGCTACTTACAGTGCATCCCACTTAACTCTTGTGCGCCCCACCCCCACCAACCCTTTTTGCCTCACGGTGTCCTGTTATTCCTGACTCGAGGTCAACTGATATGGCCTCTGGTGTCATTTTGGCAAAAAAACGACAAGTCGTGTATGCGCTGGCATGGCCGCACTCGCCATCCAGGTGCCACACGTCTCAGTTACCAAACATGAGCAGAAAGCTTGTTCCCCCCCCCCCACCCCCCGATGCACTGCCCACAGCAGGTTACAGTTAAGAGTGAATGAGGTAAACGGTGACAACATTTTCTTCAAACAAATCATACTCCACCAAGCTGGACGGAGTGGTACTTTGCTACATGCAGAAATTTGCAAAACATTTCAAATTGAGTAGTACAGTAGAACCTCTCAAGTTTTTACACAATGCTGGTCAAGCTGTGTCTGATTAAAAAAATAAAATAAAATAAAAATACATACCTTAATTAACTGTACAGACAATGTTTGAACATTCTAAACTGTCATACGAGTGTAAAAATAAATTTACCAGTCAGTAAATTTGTACAAGACACATGAAATGACTGACCACAAATATCTGATTTGCATATCGTTCTATTTCAAGAATGACTTCATTTCCTCATGTCGTGACAACAGGGCTGTGTTCGAGATCGCTCCCTGTCCATTCGTGCGCTTGTCTATTGACTACAGTTTGTGGCTTACATGCTTACATATACATACATACATACCTGTATATATATATATATATATATATATATAGGTATGTTGCATGTTTAACGCCTCAAATTAATTCCAAGTTAAAGGGCTCTTTTCTTTATACTCGCAAAAAAATATATATATATAATCATATATATATATATTCTGAATTTTTTTGTTTGTTTGCGGCCACTCGCATAGAGAGAGAGAGAGAGAGAACACTGCATTGAGGGGGGAGGGAATCGTTAATCGGTGAGTATCCAGGATCAATTGTATGTAAAAATCCCCCTGAAATGATGTGCTTAGTGAATGAACCAAAGACAGCCCAGATGTTTGCTTCCCCTACTTCCGAGGGGAATAGGCATCTTTAAATAGATATCAATAAGGAGGGCTCTGATGGTCATGTTAGAAAATAATTTAAAGATGTCAAATGAAAAGAAAATTAGTACCATGTAGAAAATGCAGAGGAATGACAAAAAAAAGTTGGCAAACTCGAAAGAGAAAGACAGCATGGATCTAATCTAAACATATGTGCATCTTTGCAAGACAATGTGGAGTGAGCACAGAATCGACAAAAACAAAATTGACAGAAAGAAAATCCCTGTCCCCCCGCCCTCCCCCAAAAAAGGCAAGGTCATCATTCATCCCACACTGGGAACTTGTTTTATTATTAAGACTCCAAACTTTGATTCATCTTAACACCAGTAATCGGACTGAATTTGATCGTTTCCTCTCCCTTTTGATCAAAGTCGGCATAGGCTCAATCATCTGATGTCGCTAAAAGTGATCCTGACTGATGCTCTTGTGGTGTGTTTATAGCGATTAATCTGATAGCATTTCATTTTGCTTTAAAGTGCATGACGAAACAATTGTCCCCCAGACTACTGTTTGCAAACCAATTATTGTGTTTATTTGATCATGTTTCGCGATGAAAAAGTATTGCACGAGGGGGGAGCAGATGATGTACTCACCAACCTTTTTGAAATGGATTCGATCATTGTTTTCCAAAGTAAAAGAAGATTCTTGCAAAAGGCTGTTAACATGCTACGGTAAAAACAGACTTTGGAACTCAGAGGAAATCAGTTGAGGCGTTAACGCTGAGCGTAAACGGCATTGCTCATGAACAGACTTACTGAGACTTTTAACCAAGGTGTTGATTTTGAGGAGGGGCTTTAATTTGTTCACGTGGCACTGATTAATTGAGAAACGGTGTCACTTCTAGCGGAGGCAACTATTTGTGGAAATGTAGCATGATTAACCCTTTCAGGGACAGCGGTTCGAACAGTGGACAGCTTCTCATGTTATTAGGTTAGAGGGTGAATGAAAGGGTCCACTTTTTTTTTTTTTTTGCCATATTGTATTGAGGAGCATCCCTTGCCTCTTTTGTGGCAATTGGAATCCATATCTCAAAAAGCCAAAGAAAAAGATTTGTGACATTTGAGCTCCCCCCCCACCCCACTTTCCAGAATCGCTCGGCTGAGCAACTTTAGTACTTCAGAGGTTCCACTGTACCCCAAAACTAAACACTGATTGCAGCGCGTTTCAGCAGGGCCGAAAACGGTGTCGATGAGTCATGACATCCTCATCTCAATCCACATGAGAAAACACGAGAGGCTCGCTTGTCATGCTGCTCAAAGAACAAGGTCGCCACAAGAAAACAACGAAACGTCAGTAACCCGAGAACGAGACGTCAGCACCGAGAGCCTCAGTACACAAGTGGCTCGGATGGATGGGGGGCCCGCAGTGTTCGTCCACATCACTCGCATCATTCAATCAACAACGGCGGCCACTCGCAGAGACCCTTAAAAGTCCCAACTTGGAGCATCGCTGCCGTCGTGGCCTTCGCCCCCTCCCCGACCCATCGCCAAATTACAGTATCTCAAAGGGTTGCATTCAAGGAAAAGTACGCTACATACTCAGTGACCAATTTGCATAAATACATTTCATCAATAATAAAGACAAATGTCATACTAAATGGGAGGGACTGGGGTACCTGAAGTGTCGAATCCTGATGTCCCTCAGAGCGGACTCTCATTGACAGTGAACTGACTAATCAACAGTAGCATCCACGCTATTTCCTGCATAAAGGCCAAACCAAAAGGGAAGCCTCCGTCACTCTTTTGTCTAAATGCCAGACGGCGCACTCTCATCTGTAGAAACTAAGTGAGAAAAATGAGGTTTCCTTCATACTTGGATGACAATGGCATGTCCACAAAGACTTTTGATCACCAAATTGCGGGATTGTCAAAACTCCCTCCGGGGCCCGATTTCTTTCTTTCAAATGTTTCGAAAAGGCTCTGCAATCACAATTCACTTCATTTAGCTCATTACCGGAGGGAACATCGTGTGGCCTTCCTGGAATGAGGCTCAAGATCAACGCTGGCGTCTGACTTGCGGAGTGATGGCTTGTCTGTCATTCCTATTTCTGACTTAAGCACCGGCGATACTTGCATGCAAAGGGGGGGAAAAAGGGGCGGGGGGCAGAATAGGAATTCAAGGCACCGCTACCTCATGACAAAACAAGAACAACCACCGCCATATTTGCAAGTGCTTGAGCTGCCCTGTCAGAGACGATATCCAACAAACGGAGATGGTGCACAACAAAAACATGTTCACAGGCAATTTTTTTTTCCTCAGTATAAGTTCCATGCATGTATATTTTTCAGGATTTTTGGTGCTTTGAGGTAATACAATGATCATCTCCAAAAAGAAGCGGGCACCCACTCCACTGACTCCAGCAAGCACCCATACAGTAGAATGAAGAGACCAATGAAGCCTCCTCCCCCCACCCAACACAAATTGGTTTGAAATCCAAAAAAGCAGCAAAGAAAGGCATTTCATCATTTCTAATACAAAGTAAGCTACCCAAATATACATATAAAGTCTGAATAAATACTATTGGATATTCTCTCTATGACAGTCCGTGGTGGTTTTTTTATGGATGTACAGAATGGATCGGGTATTGAAGTTACCTGGGAAGAGTCCACATGTGCAAATAAGTGTGTTATTGCCAGTCTTTGCTCAGGGGAGGTCATATTCGGGGTAGGAAGTGCGTTACAGTCATGGCAGTGGTGGCCTTGTTGCCCCTCTTGACGCGGCCGTGCTTGCTGAGCGCCACGAAGGAGCCTCTGTACGCCAGCGACTCGTAGGCGTTGTAGTTGTTGGGGAGCATCCTCTCTCGGAACTTGCACTCGTCATGGAAGACTGTCTGGAGAGGACACAGGTGGCAAAGTCATTTTCTCAAGCTCCCTTCCGGTCTCATTCATACTTTTGCAAGAAGGTTGGGGTGTTCCCTGCCATGGTGAATTTGGGGTTGTCATTAGCTGTCAATCAAAATGAGAGTCAATACATCATGACATCTTGTAAAGTTTGTCTGTGTAAAGTGAAGCTACATAATGAACGAGTTTCATTTTTTGAATTTTTGCAACAAATACATGATCCAGAGGGGCCTCGGCTTCCATGGTCAATTCGTTCTGTGACCACTCTCTTCATATATCCCCATTGAAATGAATGGAAACACTGTTCATCCTTTTCTGCACGCCACACAAAAACTAACACAAAATGCTTTAACTTCAGTGTGAAAAAGAAAAAACGTCACTCTATAGTATTGTAAATAAAAGTTTTTTTGCATTGTGATTTCATACTTTTCTGCGGTTCAGTGGGCCTCCTAGTATGTGGGCCTTGGCCACCAGGTGGCCGTAGATTACACACATGGAGCTAAGGCACTAAAATTTGATGCTGTCGGATAAAAAGGAATGCTGCAACTATGTTACGGTAATATAATATCCGTATACGTACAGTCGTGACAAACAAGTCATCCAGAAATTTGATCCACACGTCAAACGGCATTCTGGCCAAAGCATCAGGGGAAGTTATTGATTTGATGATATTGTTTCGCCAGTATTTAGTGTGTTAGGATGACACAAAGAAGGTACGATGAGCAAGAACCCGTTTGATGTTGGTGCAAGTCCAGATAGAAGCAAATCATTTCACATTTTCCATGTTTGCACTGAAATTGTTTCGTCACACTCCTCCGCGTAATCATATTGTCCAAAATCCTCCTCCATTCAACAGAAAGTAGCCTGCAAAGTAAACTAACGCACAGACAAACACACACACATATATACATATACAGTATATATATATACATATACAGTATATATATATACATATATAAATATACATATACATACATATATATATATACATACATATATAAGATAGATAGATAGATAGATAGATAGATTTGGGTCAGAAGGGAAGCATCCTTCCTCAGAAAAAAAAATCATTTGTCTTTAGACATTGTCCATGAACCAGAGGGCAGACAGCCAACTAAGATGCCAACAAGACATTTGGGCTTATGTGTGACATCACAATAAAGGCCATTGATTTACAGTTACAATAGATGCCAGAAGCAACACACTTTGCAGATAAAAATATAAAACTACATTCATCAACAGTATTTTCCATCGGGTTCAAAACTCAAGTTGATGTCCTAGAGAAGAGGGTGAATAAGTCCAATCCATCCATTCATTTTCTGGATTGCTTATCCTGTTCAGGTCAGCTGGAGCCTCTGCAAGCTGACTTCACACCATATGCAGAATACAACCGGGACTGGTCGGCAGTCATATGGACGGCACATAGTGAGACACACAAACTTTCACAATCAAAAGGACAATTTGTCACAAAGTGGAGAATGAAGTCCCACAGCCTGCAGCGATGCAAGTGAGCCTCAAAACAATCAGACTCCAGTCCAGTGTATGACTTTTTGTACAAATTCCTACTGAAGTGAATGAGAACACACTTCCTGTTTTTGGCATATGGCATACGGGCGCACTCCAACATATGAAAAAAAAAAAGTGATCAATTCTTTCACCAAGGACAATGGAAGTAAAGAACTAATTAACATTTTCCCAGAGGACGATAGCCGGTTATGAAATTCAAAGACACTGTTGAACAATTGAAAAGGCGCTAATATTGTTATATTTATGTTTCATTTGGCTCAACGTCATCATTTTTGTGCCACTTCAACAATTGTAGGCATAATATAGGTTCCAGCCCTTGACCACACTCACTGGACTAATTTGAACAACTTTCAACGCAATCCAAAATCCGGTACATTTGAAAGCTTCTAATTGAATAGAACAAAATCCAAGACGGTTTGCTTTGAGGTGAACAAGAATCTTTCAAGGCCCTCAGTAGTCAACAAAACATCAGCCACTACTATGAAGGAAACATACGGTGCAAGTTCTGCAGTGCTGACTGGCCAACATGGCGTGTCTATAGCAGGCGAGCCGGCTGCCTCCATGTGGCTAAATTCAATCTCTTATCAGATCACCAGCACAGTGGCAAGCTAACACTTCATCACTCCAGAGGAGATACATTCTGCCTGTCAAGGATGTCAGCCCACAAGCCAAGCGGCCGCCACCAACGGGAACACGTGTCATTGTCATTTCAGCGCCAGTGACATCAAGGTTACTGCTGACATGCTCACAAATCTCTCCAACTCAAGTCAAGTACCTTTGAGCATGTCCGAACCAGATGTTAAAAGAGCACAAAACGCATAAGGTTAAGTGTTGGCTATACTGTGGACCCATCACACTAAATGTGTTAAAGAAATACAGCACAATGGGATGATACAGCTCTGGTTGAACGCCTCCAACTTTGAATCGCTCAGAATTCAACCAAAATCCCTTCGTCTATGTCCTCGCTATTAACTGAACAGGCAGACTTGTTTTTTTTTTTTTAATGATTAAAGTTTTTTTTTTTTTTTTAAAAAAAGCAATCTGTATGCCACAGTGCTTGTTTTCATCCTCACGTGGCACATTTAGACAAAACATATACTCCCACTTCATTCTCACTTATGGACAACTTCGAGTCTTTAATGATCCCAAATTCTAAACATGCCTTGTTTTTTTTTTTTTTTTTTTTTTTTTGCAATGTGGGAAGAAGCACACCAAGAACTCAACACAGGAAGGCCGCAGCAGAGTTCAACCCATAAGCCTCAGAACTGTGAGGCAGACGTGAAAACCACACCACCACCATCACCACTGGACTGCCCCGCAACCAAAACATTCCAGTAAGAGATGCCTAAATTATTCTGGGCATTTGTTTTGTTTCTTTTCTCTTTTTTTTTTCCTTTTGGTGGGAACTCCAAAAAAAAGAAACAGCCAAAACAATTCTCAGCCAAAGACTGAGAATAGAAAAACTAAATACACCGAAAGAAGGGAAAGACACACGATGTGACTTCTTATCAAAGCGCAATTCTGCATTGCATTTTCCAATCCCCTCATCCGCGGGAGTGCTGGAGCCTATCCCAGCCGTCTTCGGGCATTAGGCGGGGGACACCCTGAACCGGTTGCTAGCCAATCGCAGGGCACACACAGACGAACAACCATCCACGCTCACACTCACACCGAGGGACAATTTGGAGTGTTCAATCAGCCTGCCATGCATGTTTTTGGAATGTGGGAGTACCGGGAGAAAACCCATGCAGGCCCGGGGGGGAACATGCAAATTCCACACAGGGAAGCCGGAGCTGGAATTGAACACGGTACTTCTGCACTGTGAGGTCTAAACGCTAACCACTGGACAACCGGGCCGCCCAAAGCTCAATTTGATTTTACATTTCATTAATAATGAGTAAATGTCGGTTTTATTTTTAACTGTGGTCCATTACGCCGGTATTTACATTTTTACTGAACTTTTTTTAGATTTTTTTTTTTTTTTTTGCACAGATTTTGAATCCACCTTTGTTTTCTCTCTCCAGCACACATCAGGTTTTTGTAGTAGTAATAATAATAAAAATAGTAATATGTAATGTAGTAATATATTTACTGTAGTCATAAATTAAGGAATTAAATTCCGCAACGGCAGGATTTTTTTTTTCCTAAAACGTCACAGCTATAAACTACACTGCATGGTAAAATCCATATTACACAAGTTTTTTTTTTTTATTAGCTCAAACATAAAAACAAAAAATGAAAACAACATCTCAAAAACCTGATCTGCGAGAAAAAATGAGATATTTTTGAATCAGCGCCAAAAATACATCGGCAGACGCATATGCCACTTCTGATGAAAATTCTCAGTTGACCAATGTTATTTTTTGTTTTTAATCCACAAACGGTGATGTCCAAGAGATACAGCGATAAAGGGGCTATTTCTCTGCTCCGCTGATGCCAAGGATGACTGAGTTGTAATGTTTAAATCGGTCAGTTAGCGACCCAACTCGAGAACTGTGGCTTTAAGGAACTCGCTTATAAAATTGTAATTATAGCTCATAGTGATGCCACAACACCTATAAAATATTGCTGTTAATAGTTTTGTAGGTACTCATCAGCTGTCTAGAGAATAAATCCTGACAATCACTTCTGACGGACACCCTTCCAAACCACAATAACTGAATAAGTCAAGTGTAGAGGCACCCCAGACCGGCACCCATTTATAGTTTTGTTTATTATAATTTTTTTTTAAATTATTTGTTTGGCGGCACGGTGTGCAAAGTGACGTCTCACAGTTCTGAGGTTGGGGGTTTGAATCTGAGCTCTGGCCTTAATGCAGGGGGGCATGTTCTCCCGCGTTCGCCCGGATGTCCTCCCACGTTTGAAACATATGCATGCATGGTTTATCAAAGACTAAATTTTAATTTAGTGTAATTGGCTGGCGACCAGTCTTGGGTGTACCTCACCTCTGGTCAAAATTCAGCTGGAGTAGCTCCAGCTCATGTGTTAATAAATAGATGAGTTTTTATTGCATTTAGACCGTTATGTTCATGCACATGGTCTGAGCTTGTCACCGAGTTTGTGATTTGGCATTATAAGAATGTTAGGAGACAGATGCAATGCATAGATCAATGTCTTGCATTTGACTTCTTCGTCAGGGGGCCCAATTGACAAGTTCCTGATGTCAACTATTTGGAATGTGTCAATCCTACTGGCTCAAGCACATTAATCGCCAGCACTTATCGAACCATTCACACGTCGTTCCGGTGCAAGTAAAACGGGGGTGCACACCTACCGTCCCATATAACCTCCCACGTCTGTTCATGGCGACATACAAGTCACTCTTGACTCCGTACAGGCTCACCACTCCTCTCTCCACCGTGGAGATCTCAATGAGACCTGAAAGCATAAATAATTTTAGGGAGCTGGACGGCTGACCGTAGGGGGTTCGGGGGTGGGGGGGTCTTTTTCCTTTAACTAGAATTATGCTTACGATTTCGCATGCATTATGCTCCCTCTCCGCGCTTCTGGGTGTAACCTTGCGGAGTGACGACTCTTTGTTCTGCATCCTTCACATCCGATCACATTTAATTATTTATTTATTTGTGTTGGCGTGCGCGCGCGTGTTTGAGTGTGCGTGTCGGGATTGCGCCATTTGCGTGGTCGTGGGCTCCACCGCCACAGGCCCGCCCGAGCTGGCCCACAGCGTAAAAATAAGTTGTGTCTAAAAGCGTCCATACATTCATGTCATGCTCGGGGAGAGGGGGAGGAAGAGGGGAAGAGAGGAAGAGCAAAGGAAAGGAGAAGAGCGGAGAGGAGGGCAAGGGACGGGGGCCGGGGGGGGGGCGCTCGGTGCTGTTTGTTTTTTAATAGAATTGTCTTTGCACCCCCACTGAGATGACGCACGATCATGCAAATGACACGGAAGAACTCACTGTACGGGTTCTCGTGGTGGGCACCGTTGATCGTGCCGTCGGGGAGGATCTGGAGGTGGAAGCCGATGCCCACGTTGCAGTAGAGCCTCCGCACTCTCTTGATGCCCAGCAGGTAGTCACTCTCCCAGTTGAGCTCCGGCTTCTCCCCGGAGATCCCGAGCACGGAGCGAGAGAAGAGCGTCTCCCAGCGCTTCTCCAGCAGCAAGGTGCCATTTGTCCGGCCGCTCGGGAGCGGGTACGCAGACACGATGCCCAGCAGGAGGCTCAGGAGAACCGCCGCGGTCAGCGTCCAGTGCGGCGTGGCGGCCTCGCAGGACATACTGACGAGGAGCCTGTGAGCTCCGGCCATCCGGTTTACCTTCAGACCACGTGGTCCAAATTAATGAGCCTAAAAATACCGCTCTTCTTGTTTTTCTCCCTTCGGCATGCTGGCTGAGGGTTATTTCTGGAGCTGTGCAGGGCATGAAACGCAAGCCCCGGTGCAGAGGAGGAGAGGAGACGCTGGAGGTGATGGTGCTGGTGCTGCTGCTGGTGATTACCATGTTTTGCAGCTCCTACCTCCACGCCTCTCTCTCTCCCCCCCACACGCACGCACTTGCTCTCTCTCCTTGCTCCTCGACCAAAAAGAAGAGTTGCAAGAAATCCACCATGCACCAAAACAGAAACAAACAAAAACAAACACACAAATCAAAGAAAGGAAGAATTGAGAGCCCACTATCAGGCCAGCCAGGGGCTCCGCATCCTCCCAGGATCTGATTCCCAATGTAAGGCTGGAGAGGGCCCTGATGGCAGCAAGAAAGCGCCTTCAATGTTTTGTCATTGCTGGCCCAGTAAGGGGCGTAAGGGGGGTTGAGTGGGCTCAAGGCAGCACCCAAATTGGGTTGGTGGTCATATGTCTGTCAGGCCGCTTCCTTATTTAGAAAGAAGGTGTAAAAACAGTCCCACTTGTCACTGGAGAGCAATGACAAGGCTCCTGCGGTGCCACTTCTTCTTCTGCAACCTTCAACAATTTTAGCAAACAAATTTCTGGATGACATCGTCTACACCAGTGAGTGCCACCCGAGAGATCAAGTATGTCGTGTGGGATTGTACATATTCAATGTGATGGTTCAAAAATTATTCACTACAAATCATATCAAAGTATGTAGTATCTTTTTCCATTAAAAAGTAAGTATCATGTAGTATATTTACTCATAAAAAGTAGTACTACAAATAATTGAGTACATACTCAGTCAAGTAAAAAATGTTCCATGTAGTTTTTCACTACGTGCCCCCAACTAGTCTTGACAGAGTATTCTGCTTAATATTGCGTTTGTGGAATATGAATTAAACAGTAAAATCCACCCGTTTTATTCCCAAAAGAACGCATACTATAAAACATCAACAATACAATTGTAACAACTATTCCTATGTAAACCTTGTTGTTTGAAGCAGTTATAGTGGATGTCATTTTATGTTAAATGTTCTGGATAGCGCTTTGTTACAGCTGCGGTGGTTGTGAAAGCACCAAGTAAAGAAAGATGTATTGCATTGTATCTATCTATGCCAATGACATATCAGGACAAGCAGAAGAATTAAATGCTCTTCCACTAGATAGCAATCAACCTTTTGCACACACTGTGTGCCTTGCCATTATTATTGTTATTATTTTTGTTTTTGTTGGAGTAAAATGGAGGACATGTTTTGGCTCAATAAAAGTTGGGAAACACTGGCCTACACCACCTCAAGTTTCAAGGTTTAAGTCCACCATTTCGGTAAAAACACTAAATGCCGCCACCCGTTTGTTCACTGCAACATTAATCCTAAAGTCACACATTATGATCTCAGCATGTTTCCCATGGTACATATGTAAGAGCCGCGTGGAGCAAAGCGGAGGCCTGACATGGAATGGCACACATAGTCCGCATGCCATTCCGGGTGAAACGAAAGCCTATCGTCTTTTCCATGTAACAGATAATGTCAGCAGCTGCATGGCCATGTGTCAGTGGGGCCACAGCGGTGGGCTGCGCAACACAGTCAGTTCTCGGAATCTCCAAGGGATGGCACCATTACCAAGACAGTATTCACAAGAGCTTCAGGGGGAAAGCAATTTGGAGGGAACACCAGGCTGTGCAATCAGTAACTTGTAATAGGGACAAATGTTCGAAAAACAATCAGTTGCAGTGATTTCACGGTATCCGAGAAGACATCCTTTGGGGGAAGAGTTCATTTTAAAGAGAGCGAGTCGGTTTAAAATGATTGAAATAATCAAGGGGGCACTCAAAAAAGTGCGCGGATAAAATGCCCATCCCCACTATGGAGATTGCTGAGAATGTTTCGGGTCTTCTTACACTTGACATGACAGTCGAGAATGTTTGAAACATTTCCTGGAAATGTGTTTAATCTCAATGGGTGTACGATGCACTTTTGTCCCAAATAAAACGGTCACATGTGCCACATATATCGTCACACTTTAGTTCTTGGTAAGGGAAAAAAAAAAAAAAAAAAAGACAACTTGTCAGCCATTTTCTGTTTTATTGTTTATAAAAAGCTGTTTGGAGATCACATGTCGGTATCTATGAAGTCAGGTTATCTGATGGATGTACAATAAAGTCTTCTGTCATGGCTGCATGCACCTATGACAACAATCAGTTATATCATGTGGTACATGGTTAGAAAAACACATTTATCATAATTTTAGAGTCTAAAATTGGCACTTTAAACTGGCTTGAAAATAAATCCCAAAAGATAGTTGATTGACGGAGGGGCCTAAAAACCTCTTCAGCCTTTAAAGTTATGAATCGGAAAAAAATATATATTTACTTCAAAAATACAGGAGACTTCTAATGGCAATAAAAGAAGTGCTGACAAAATAAATCTAGATCTAACAGCATGGCAAATAAGAGTGAAAGAAAACATCCGATGGTAGACGGCAAAGTCTTCATGATAAAATAAGTTAGCACTGAGAATGGTTGCATATCACTATACAAATAATTTATGTTTTTCACAGATATAGCCCTCATCTTTGCACCAACAGCAGATACTGTAGGCCAATATTTTAAAAACGATTCCCCCCGAATAAAAGTATTATAAATAAATACAAAAGGCAGAAAAATAGGCACTTTTTTTAACTATTGTGCTACTGCTCAATACTAGTTTTGCTTTGAGTTCTGGGACAAAACTATTCATGTGTTTAAAACTCGATGAACCTGCTTTAGTAGAATAAACACAGTGCAATGAAAAGACAGCCTGGGGATTACACTAGATGGACTATTGAGCATGACTACATAGACACGTAAACAAACACAACACGCACACACTTTCACAGTGCCTACTGTCATCTCGAGTAACCAAATGGTTGACTTGACTCAATTGATTTGGTCTTTTGGGAATGGGCGAAAGATGTGAATGTCATTGTGGGAGTCCAGGATTGTCAAGGGGCATACTTACTGAATGTGGAAACATGAAGGTGGAGCAGGGAACATCATTAGCATTGAAAAGAAGAGGGCACTACGATAAAGTGCTAACCTGAGATGTTTATCTCGATCAGAGATAGAGCAGTCCACTTTTGCACTCTCGGGGACATCCATAGCCCAGTTCTAATAAACCACCTCTTGAACCAAGACTGATGATACGCTCCAATAGGGATGCGGTTTAACCCACTCTCGAGCTCTCTTTGCTAATATTTTAAAGAGACAGTCGGGAGGGGCGTCCTCTCATCATTTCACTTAAAACACAAGAGACAGTCGGATGTAGACACATTTGATAGCCGGAGTGTGCCACAAATTTCATTTCTGAGAAAGGGTTGTGTTGACGCTTCCTAGTTAGCACTAGACCAGAGCTACAAAAATCAATGTAGGGATACAGTACATTATATATGCATTGGTTCCAGGCCAGACAGCAGTAATGTAAAAAAATGCAGGTCTAAAATCTCCCAAATATCATCAAGCTAGTGAAATGCATTCCATTAGCCAAAAACGATCCGACTGCTCAACAGGCCTTTGAGAAGATAGAAAAAGACAGCAAGGGGTTGATTTTTGCTAGTGGTATCTCATACATTAGAAGCATTCCCATACTTGTTGACTGAATTGGCCCTCAATGGATGTGACAGAATGGTCATTTCTCCAATCACCCTTGAGCTTCTTCGCACATGGCTTTCTGAAGTATAACATCACGCGCATGTCTGGTAGGTGAAGAAACAAGGCAACCATTTTCACGCTTGGTGTCACCTTGTGTTATAGTACCGGACAAATTGTTATTTTCATACCCTGTATATACCCGAGAATTGAATAAAGTGTAAATAAGTCTGGTGGGGAAAAAGGAAAACTCTGGGCAAAATGTTTGGCTATTCAAGCTAGCGGGCACGTCCCTGATGACATAACTGTATTTTCACTCTTTCTATACTGCCTCATCATGGCACACTTTTGGTAAGGTGCAAATGCACAAAAATAGAGCAAGGCCTCCTGGGATACTACGCGATAGTGCATTGCTAAACACCGCCCTAGCCCCCGCGGCATTCTTCCACGATCTTTCTCAGAGGTTTCCCATCTGAGTCTCAGCCTTTGAGATCCTTTTGATCAAAGACAATATGATTGGCCAAATAGATGGCAACAATGCCTAGGACTACAGAGCAGGCAATATAGGTGGTGACTGATTGTGCGAACTGAACAATGGTGCCCATGAGCAGGGTGGGGATAACCTGAGAGAGGAGGAAGGTGCTATCTAAGATGGCGAAGTCCAGGCCCACGCCGCGGTCTTCATACCCTGACTCCAGCTCCTCTGGCTCGGGGCCAGCGGAGTTCTGAGCTGAGCCGTTCTGGTTGAAGGGAGCAGAGGAGTAAATGTCCTGGCTGAGGAAGGCATTTCCAAAGGAGGGGCCAGCCGTGTTATTTAATATACTCTTCTCTTCCACTGGAGTCAAATAGTCTCGATTAGCTGTAAAACCATTTTTACGGCTGTTTTTGGTTTTCCTTTTTGGCATATACACCTGGAGTGAGACGAGACAGGTTGTAACAGCGGTCCTCCATATTTTACCCCCACCTCCCAAAAATAACATGACAATGGGTGCTTACCTTCTTCTCCTGGTGGTAGTGGCAAGTGAGTGTGTAGGGCAACGTCTGCAACGCGGCGTATGCGTAGCCAGTGAGGCCGGCCATGGTTGTGACGAGGACCACACTTTTAGACATGCAGATGACCAAAGCAGACACGGTGAAGCTCACCATGCTGCTCAGGTAAACCCAGCGGGACCCAAAGCAGCGAACCATTCGACTCATGATCATTGAGAAGAAGGTTGAGGTAACACACTGCAGAACCAAACCCAAACTTCCCATGCGGATACCTGAAATAAGAATAGAAATTGAGTTAGAGCAGGTGATATGAAGCTCACGGCTCTTCTCATCGAAAGAAGGGGAAGGAGAAGCTAGATGTTAGGTACAATTAATTACATGCCAACAATAAGACGGATGAGTTTCCACACCCCCCCTTTTTTTTTTCCTTTTCCATTTTTTATTGTTTTTATACTGCTATTTCGGGTTTAAAACGGTTGTGTCCATGGCTTGGTAGATTGACCGTTGTCCTTTTGCAGCTACATTCAAATGTATCCAAAAGTGAGAACCAAATGCATGAATAGAGCCAAGGCTGTTACAATGTCAATGTTAAAAGTGGAACTTCTGTCTGTTCGGAACCAGTCAACCCTTTAAACACAAAGGAAGGGAGGATAGAAAGGGAGAAAGCTCAAAGAACTTCTTAGATCATCGCATGAACCTTAGATAAATCATTAGAAAGCATTTGAGGGAGGAACACACAGGCCAGCACGTATTTACTGAATGAAGCAATGTGCCTCCAAGTCTGACCCACTTGGCTGGCCGCACAACTATTACGCCGAGGTCCTGCCAAAGGACAAATAGAGAATCTGAACTACAAAAAACAGCGAAAAAGGACGGCCCGTAGAGACTTAGAAAAAGACATGTATTGACGCTTTAACCTGAACAAAGATTGTCCAAGAATCAGTCTAAGTTAAGCTTAAAAATGAGTCAGTATTTCCGTTTCTAACCTTTGGGTTAGAATTTTTTTTTTTTTTAAGTTGTATAATGACAGGCTAGCAGCCGCATTTTCAGTCATATGGTTATGTGTTTGGACAAAAGGCTCAACATTTGGAAAAATCTATATAAGATGTCCCGGCTCCATGTTTAGAACCAAACCATTTCTGGGAGTGGCGGCAGCACGTTGAACACTGTTCGTGCAAAGTTCAGCATTGGTGCACGTCGTCACTTATGTGAAAGAGTATTCGGATCATATTACTTTGGGCATTCAAAGCTGGAGAGTTGACTTGATATGACAGAAAATGACTGAACTCTGACTGGACTGAAAGGAACCAAATCAAATGAATAAACAGCGACATTGCACTCCATAATTATTGGCACCCCTGGCAAAGATGTCTTTTTCAGATTCGAATGCATCCATTCTTTTTTCGAAATAATGCAAGTGCATTTTTGTCGAGGGGGAAAAAAAAGATCCCACATCAAAGAATAATTCTCCATCAAATCATGTGCCACAATTATTAGCACCCCTGATGTTAAGAGCTGACAATCCTTTTTTCCAGCAAAGCAGCGCCTAATCTTTTGCTATAATGTTTCAAAAGGTGGGAGAACACAGATCAAAAAAATAAGATCTTCAACCATTCGTCTTGGTGCAATTTCTCTACAGCAGCCAGCAACCTGGGTCATCTCCTCATTAGCTAACACCACTGTACATTTGGATGACATTGAAAGGCAACATATTTTCTGAAAAGGTAAGAACATCTTTGCATCAAGATAGTACAAACAAAATGACATTTTAAGTTGAGTGCTCACTGTGGTAAATGGATCGGTGCAACTACAGTGTAAACACGAACAATTTAGTCAAACAATCAAACAAACAATGCAAACAACAAAACAGGTCGGCATTACACGAGCAAGAGATGAAAACCATTCCAAGAGTAAAAGTATTTTTGTATTAAAACATCAAAGAGTTTGCGCCACAGGGAAAGAAAAAAAAAACTCTCTGACCTTCATCGTATCTTTGTCTGGGTACACTTCCTGGTACTGCACTGGGAACGCCACCATACAGGCCTTCGCCCACAAAGACTGTGAAGAAGAGCATGAAGGACATGACCGCCATCCAGCTGCAGAGCTGAGCCACGCACAGCTGCCACATCACTCTTGGGACATGGCAGTAGCTCCTGTAAATGGCGGGGGTCATGGACCAGCATGTTCTCAGCAAGCAGAGCAGAGGTCCAGACTTGAGCAGCCTTAGCTTGCACTTTAGCAGGTAGCAGCATGAGCGAGGCGCACCACACCGGCCATCTTCCACTGCACCGGCTGCCGGTTCCAGCAAAGATGAGGCCCCAGGCGAGCCCCTGATGGCACCGGAGGGTTCTTCGGAAACCTTCATAGTGATGAGTAGGCTGGGAATGAAGATAAGGAGGAGGAGAAAGAAGAGGCACTGGTCCTGGCCTCCAAGGTAAACGGAGAGCAGGCTGTGGCTCCAGTCCAGTGCAGGAAGCAAATATCCCACACAGCCTCCCAAGCTAACCATGAAGGAGAACATCGCAAAGGCTTGGTTACAGTCCTCCCCGTCTCGATACAGGTCTGATAGGAGCGCCTCCAATGGTGTGAAGCAAACTTGTCCACAAAAGTCAAGAAGGCCAACTCCAAGGATGAGGAAAGCAACCTAAAGTGGAGAAGTACGTAAGTAACATTAGCCTTGGGCAGGTCTTTTGATTTCCCACGTCACAGTCATTTACCAATATCTGATGGTGCGTTCACACAAGTTAGTCCCCCCATGCTACAGTTTGCTTGGTCAAGCATGAACATAGTCACGGAACTTTGAAGCGGACCACATTAACCGATCCAAGATCATGGCCCCTATTAAGTTGGTTTTGGAACCTTATTTGGTGTTCTGGGGGATACGGTTCCGGAACAAGCATTAGCCTTTGTTAACTTAAAACTACATTTATTACTATGCTACAGAAGGGGGGTCCTAACTACAGCCTGGGGACCATTTGTGGCTGCCATCCATTTTTTAAGCGGCCCACAGCATAAAAAACATTTGACACAGCCTGCAACGGTAATGCAAAAAGTGTCAGTGTTAAAAGATTGGATGGTTTGTAACGCCCCTGAAAGCTATTACCACCAAGAGTTTATAAGAAGCTCGTCTTGATTAGCAAAGACGCATGGAACTATTTACGACCAAAGCAGTGAGTGACATTTCTCTACAATAACACCCCAGTACAGTAAATGAGAATTTGATTTGAGGTTAGAAGCAAAAATGGTTTGCTCTGCTTTCTCTTCCATGTCGAGGTCTGATTTGTGAAGACATCACAGTATTGATCCTCAAGAAAATACTGCTTTAAGGATTGTCCGCTTTCTCCAAATTGCTCGCGTTTTGTTCTCTCAACGACTGGTGATGTGATTCAGATGCTGCGCAGAGCAGGGATGGATCCATTCTCGCGGTATCCTGAAGGATCTTAAACTACTTTATACCATTATAACCTGTCAGTTTTTTTTAAATAATTAAGACATATTAAAAAGACTATACCCTGTAATTGCTTGATGGGTTGGTTTAATCGTGTTTTTTTCGATTAAGAATCCCTAAAGACACCCTTACTCTATACGACCAGGCTATAGACTAGAAAAGGTCTCATTACAGACCCGACTAACTCACCGCAGGTCCTTTGGGGTGAAAAACCAATCAGACCTCAATCTCCTCAAATTGAAAAATGAGCAAAGCAGGTCTGACCCCAAACAACGCAATTTGTGGGTAGCGCATAAATGGCTCAGACCTCTTATTTATCAGGTCGGGATGGAGCCCATCATTTAGAAATAATTTTCCCAAGACATGTTCTTAAAAGTGATCACCGCTATTTACTGATGTACCGGAGCCTGGTAGATGTTCACACCTGTCAAAGCCCAAACTCACAGGATTTGTGGTGGTTCCTTCTGGTTCGCTTTTGCCCCTCAACTGAAGTGAAAATGATGTTAACAACACTGCCAATTTGAATGATTTAAAAATACACTAATCCCTCGTTTATCGCGGGGGTTACGTTCCAAAAAGAACCAGTGATAAGTGAAATCCGTGAAGTAGTGCACTTTATTTTTTTACAGTTATTATACAATACTTAACTATATAGCTAATGAAATCAAAGACCAAAACTTGTTTTCAGGCCCAATTACAACAAAAACAAACGTTTTCAACAAATAACTATAATAGTTTTTGGAAATACTGTACTGTCGACACGCAGCGCCGCCGACGCGTTCTGATTTAAAGGGTTAAAAGCATTAAAAAAATCCACGAAAAAAATCCGTGAAACAGTGAAGCCGCGGAAAGTGAACCGCGTTACAGCGAGGGATCACTGTACAACAAAATGGCGCCTCCACCTAAAGAACCTTCATAGGCAAAAGCAAAAGCACACAGCGGGTGTCAGTGAATGATGCGCGCGCTGATCATTGCAAACAACCTCTCAACGTCATCATCTTTTCCTTTCCGTTTGTCTTGTATATCTGCATTAAAACCCAAGACGGAGTCAGTAGATGTGTGGTGCTACGGAACGAGCAACTTCGCCGATTAACCGCTGGCGTGAACGAAGGGCACTCGAGTTCTAGGGTATATGGGGGACAGTCAACTCATGCCAGATTACATTCGTAAAGTCACCAACCTGGAAAGTGTGTCCTCCCCAGGCAAGGTGTGCAGCCAGGATGTCGGCATGGGGAATGATAAAAAGGGCCAAAAGGACTCCCAGAGACAGCAGCCAGATGAAGGGCTTCCTTCTTCCGTAACTGCTGTTGCAGTTGTCACTGGCTGAGCCAATCAAAGGGGTGAACAGGAGGCCAAGCACTGGACCAATACCTGCGAATAAAGCACATTGAAGGATCGAGTCTAAGCGGAAAGTGAAGTAGTAGGACGCTGCTCATATAGTTTCATAAAAATGTCTCACATAAAAACATGGCTTCACCTTTATCGTTGTATCTCCAAAATGCCCGATTTTTTGTGCTGCTCATATCATTCATGCACTTAATACTTGCTCTGTGGTGTCTGTTTCATGTTCAAGTGCCACCACAGTGACCATACATGTACAATACAGTGGATTTGTATTTATTGTTGTTGCATTATATTAGACAGCTACCCAGTCGGTGAATGGTTGCTGGCCTGCAAAAGGAATAGACTTATATGAACCAGTGCGTGGTGGAAAAAAAAAAAAAGGTTTGGGACCACGGGTGTAGAGTACATAGAGGTTCACCACAGAGAGGAGCAGACCGGTAGTAAGGGAGACAAGTTAACTGCGGCTTGTCGTCACCTCAGTCCTGCAGCTGTGGTGGCCGATCACAACAAGTTTCACCAGCTACAGCTGTTCACGCAGCTATTTGCTCAAAACTCATGCGCGGGCATGCGCGCACGCACAGACAGGCAAGGCAAAAATAATAAGAAGAAGAAGAATAAAAATAATAACAATACATCAGATTTATATGGTGCACCAAAGTGGTACAGTCTCCCACTCTTTCCACTTTCAGAAACGGAAAGCAAATTTCAATCTAGCCCAAATACTACATTTTGTGCTGCCTTTAACAAAATGAGACTGCAGTCATTTATATAGAGTAGTTAGTCCAGTCCTGAGAGAGCAAACCACTGAAAGAAATATTACGCAGAGTGTGGAGCAACCAACAAATGGCTATTAGATAAAGAAGAAAGCCATTTGAGAACCTGACACTAGCTCGGGGCAAAGTGGCTTTTAGCCTCCAGAGACACAATATCCATTTTCATTCAAATAACACTCAGACCCTCCATTATAATAATAGGATTGCCGAATAAAACTGAGTGCCATTCCCAAATTGCCTTCCCGCACAGCCTCTTTGCAAAGAACATCCCAATGAAATTATTTCAAGCTAATAGAGAAACTAAAGGCAGGTTACACTATTGAACATGCAAACTATTTATGTTATCTAAAAGACATCGTTTGCGTGTTGTGGAACCCCAGCCACTATCTGTACGTCACAAGACAACGTTTAAAATTAGCTTCTTTAAGTGAGCACCGTGTGAATGGCATTTAGGGTGACCTTAAGTTAGTTATTCACGAACATATTCCAACTGTGCTTGTGTATGTTTGCTTCATCCATCCATCCATTCTGTCTTGAACATGCAGTACCAAAAACAGCCACAAACCCCTACCAAATTCAGGATTAAAAAAGAAATAAAAATCCCGACCAAAATGACACAAAACACCCTCCCATTTTTTAACATACAACTTTCAAAAAAAAGTAAGGTTGAACCTATTGTCAGTTGTTTTGGAATATGGCTTAGAAGTGAGGAAAGATTTAACTTCCAGTTTTGAGCCTCTATATCTGTGAAACTAATCACCCAAGAGAAACCATATTTTGGAGAATGTTTTCGACCGACCCCAGAGATCGAGGCAGAAGTAAGAGAAGTCTTTTACCCACAAAACTGAGAGCTCAACCACGCTTCAAATTTGCTATTTACCGTTAATTTTAAAAGCCACATTTTGGGACCACACCATACGAGATTATACTTGAACTACACCGCTGACATTGCATGTCTGAAGGCTATTAGTCACAGATATACACTGTAGAAAATTTGAAGGTGACAGGTTTCCAGATATTTAAAAATGGATTTTCACAGTATGATGCCAAAAACCATATAAACCTACTCTTCATTCAATGATTTTCTTGTTTTCACTCATTTTTTCTTTTTTTATGTGGACCTTTAGAAGGAAAAAAAAATAGAGTGGAAATTCCTCGTATTTCTCATCTCCTGGCATTTTGCTGCCTTTCCATTCCTGAACACACTACCCCAACCAACAACTGATGATTTGACCAATCATGTTTTAAGACTACAATAGAAAAGAGGGGCGAAACCTACCACTCCCAGAAATAATGAAACAATTTACAAGGCAAGGCCACAACTTTGTGGATCAGCCAAATTTAGAGTGGATTGTCCGTTTCATTGTTAAGGCATTAAATAATTACCGTAAATTATGACCCCGCCCCGTACATTCACTCAGAGTTGTTCATATTCGGGCCTGTAGCCAAAGACAATGCAAGGCTATAAAATTGCACTCAGGACTTTGGTAATAAACAACTCCTTAATAAACAACCCAAAGAGAAGGCAAGTGCAATTCAAGGCATTTCGAATTCTGACAAAATGTTACACATACGGGGGCAAGAGTATGTGTGTATGTAAACTAAGGAAAGCAGAATGTGCAACCTAGTGAGGAATGATGAGAGAGACTCTAGCTCAAGTTAAGCGTGTGCATAGTCAGAGTGCAAGGTTCTCAAAGGGGTGGAACACCGTCCCTCAGAAGCCAACAATGTTCCTTGATAATAATAACGACAAACCTCGATTATTTGTCCACCTTGGACTTGAAACCTTCATAACTCAGTGTAAAATGTTACAAAAGATTCAAAAGGTTTGCTTTTTAAAGTGACAAAATTCCTGTCTTTAAAGTCAAACCAAATGTGCCCTAAAAATATCACCGAGGATTTTGTCATTATGACTATGTGATTTTAGGGCCTGTTGAAATGGAAACAGTGGCTGGAAAATCCCTCCATACAGAAAAAAAAGGCTAATCACAATCATTCTTGAAGTTGCATCGATGGCATATTTTGACAGGAATATTAGTTGATTTGTCATCATTTTTTATGTCCTGTTTTGTTGTGTTCCGAGGAATATGAAGCCTGAATCTGTTTCTTTCATGATCATTAATGTCACAGCAAGTAAGTTATTAAGTGTCACAACACCCCTGAGTTGGGCAATAACTGGTTCTTTAACTCATTCAGTACCAGCCAATTCTAGACCCCCTTTTTTTTTTCTCTTGGAAGTCTTGGAAAAAATGGAAAGAAAAAATAAGTATCTGGGGTTGAACGTGTGGAGTGTGAAAAGACATAAATATGTCTTTGGGAGTGAATGAGTTAATCAGGCCTAGTAAGGTTTTGATTCTTTGTTGTCAGTAAAATGCAAGCAACTGGTGCCACTTTAGCCATTAGCACCAATTTAGCACCAGAACTTCTTTGGTGGGAACCTTTAAAATAGTAATCATACTTGGGTAAGCAGATCTGTTATAAGTAACCACTTACCATACATTGTAAATAGCACAGCCACCTTATGCAGCATATATGCAGTTGCATATATTATATTATTTATTCTGTATTGTGTACAGTTCTTTATCTGAAACTTTGTTTTTCTTTTCTACCCCCCCCCCCCTTCAATTTTGTTGCTTTAGATTGCAAATTTCTCCATTGTGGGACAAATAATGGTTTTCTTATCTTATCTTATCTTACCTAAAACCATCGTCATGTAACGCTCCTCCACACCGGCCTCCAGCAGCAGCGGTGGCACATATGTGATTCCTGCTGCCACACAGATCTCCAGGCCACAGGTAAGGGAGTTCAGCAGGACCAGACGCCACTGAGACCTCCATCCAGGCATATTTACAGGGGGCTGGCTTGCCTTTCCTACCCTCTGGGATGGCCACTTGCGGGGGGTATTGTTAACTTTGGGGAGGCAGATGAGGCCGCCGGGGACAGGCAGCAACAAAGACACGTCGATGTCTTCGATGACCTGAAGGATTCATCCTCTTTTCAGCATTCTGGATCTGAGGAGGAGAAAGATAAAACACCATCCAAATCAGCACCCAAACCACATCGTGGAGCATTCCTCATGAAGTAACAGCTCCTGCACCTACAGTAGCTGTCAGTGACGGTTACTGTCTTTTCACGGTAAATCTCGGTATTTTCCAAGATATTGTCAAAACACATGGAGACATCAGCGACAATCAAAAGGATTTGATTTTAATGGATCCTCAGAGCTCCTCGCCAACAGCTTTGGGGATAGCAGGAACAACAACAACATCAAGCGGAGAGGAGATGAGTCAGAGTAAGCAATGCAATGTGGCAAACACACTAAAACATTTGCCAAGAGATTTCTGCCTCCCACTGCTGCTTTGCTTGTCTTTTAGAAGTGTCGAAACACCTACTAGAAGACATTTCAGAGTCTGTACCTCTCCAATCTTCGCACAGTTAACCAGTCACCATGTCAGCAACTAATAAGAGCACATTTCATGTGCTATCCACAGTCTTTCGCACCTTGACCTCGAACCAAAACAATCTTTTGGAGAGGAAAAAAAAATTACCTGCTGTGCAATTTACACAAAAGATCATCAACATGGCGTCTTAGAATTGGACTTTCCACGCCAAAGGTGAACCGCAACATCTGCTTCCTTGGTATTTTATGCACCCTACCCGTCGTCAGGAAGCAAGGCAACCACACATTTATCTATCTTTCTTCCATTACTCAGGCGCCGTTTTCAAGATATACCTATTTACAGATGACATATGTCAATCTTGTCGGACCTCACTCTTGACCTAGGCAGTTTAGAGAGATCAGTCTGTGCTGTAACCAGCAACATACATGACTTCAAGACTAAAATAACCTAACATCAATTTAATGTGACGTAAAAATAGGACAGACAAAAAGTAGAGTCGAGACATGCATTGCCGTCATCAGTTCAAACTGTTTTTTTTAAAGCAGACAGAACAGGAAGAGTGAGAACACAGACGACTAACACAGAAGCTATATTTGTGTTTGGTGTGATATTTCTCCCTGAATGCTGCCCATCTGTTCCTTCCAGGGGAACAGCAATGAGGTCATCATCTCTTTTGTGGAAAATGACTGATTGTATCGCAATACAATACAGTATATTGTTTAAAAAAATGATTTCTCTTTTTTGTGTGTAATAAATTAACTCACACCACCCAGCCGCCAACCACATAGCAACGCGCTTAACAACCAAGATGCTTTTGTTTGGCAATCTCCGGCGAGTGACGACATTTACAGAATGCCGAGTCGCCAGTCAACACAAAACAGTCGTGATTTTAAACAAGATGACAAATTGATGCTCCTAAAACGCTGGTTAAATTGTCGGCATAATTCAATGTTACTCGAAGCACTGTTGTATTTATTTTAATTCTTTGCACTTAACTTTAAACTTAAAATGGGCATGACAACCAAATATTTTGGATGGTATTTATTTGGCCACTAATTTTGCATGCGTTTTGGAAACAAATATTTAAATTATAGACAAATAAAAATAAAAAAATCTCTCGGGATATATAATTTTGTGTAAACTCTTGATATAAATCATACTCTATATTACAAGCGTCCTACAGTAAGTATGGCTTGGAACAGAGAAGGGGAAAGAAATGTTCCAGGATGACGTCGGAGACAACCACAGTTGAGACTGTGGCTGTAGGGTGGGTTCCTTGTGTTTTTGGCTCAAATTGAATGACTGCAGCATTTTGGTACTCCTCCCTTCTAGGTTTCTGCACCCTTAATGGGCCTGAAAGATGGAATAAAGGTTCTAGAAAATCCGTACAAGATAGCACAATGAAGACTAGAGGCCCATAATAGCAGTTAAGCTCGTATTTACATTGTACTTATCAGTCCAATGAAAAGGTACTACATCATTTGGTTACTTGGTAACCCAAGAATACTGTCTACAATTTGAATTTGTCAGTCAAATAGTAACTTGTACCACATAAAAGATTCATTGACATGAGTTGTGTTGTTGCTACATTATCAATGCTTCAATAAGGGATTTTATTCATGACAGATATTTGATCAGTGGAGAAAACAAAATGAGAATATTAGCAACAAGCCTCCTCCAACTGGTGCTGTCCTTAAAATGTTAAGTTGGTCACATGCTTTGTGGTGAAAGGCATGGTCAGAGGTCACAGTGACGGATGCGAGTTTAAGATTACGTGCTGGGGGCTGGGGTCAACGCTGTTGGGGCTGTCCTTCAAGTGGGCAAGCACAAATCAACTTTTTAATGGAGTTTTCAGACAAGTTCCTTGATATTATCCTGTTGATAGTAACAAGGAAAGTTTTTTGAATGAGTGTGCCAAACGTCCGAAATCGTGATGCTTGCAGTTACACAAAACATAAGTTCTTTTGTAAACAGCACATTATTGACTGTTGATTAGGGCTGCCTCAAAGTATTATCAAACGTTTATATTTTCACATTAAAGGGTAACTCAGCCCCCTGACCAGACTCTTGCTCCACCCCTCCCTAATATTTGAAATAGGCGCTTAAATGGGACATTGCCTGGAGGACCATTGAGCTTGAGGCAGGGGGGAGAGGGTTGGGCATGGTCTGGCTGTGATTGACAGCAACAGTAAAACTATGACCTAAATTATTTCTATACTATGACAAGCTATGCTAAATAAACTAAGCAAATGCTATGCTAATAAATCACTAACCTGAAAATCGATATAAAGACGTTCGCAAACGCTACTATTCCGACTCCATCTCACGACAGAGGCATGTACGAGACTGCTTCATTTATATACCCCACAGTGCGAGGGACACGCAGCTGCAGCAAGACAGCGCCACAGACATATACAGTATACGAATGGACCAACAATGTCGCTTACTCGCCGACGAGAGAAGTGAAGCCACCGGCGGCCATCTTATGTTGCCATTTGCTAAGCATGCCTAATTCGAATACATTAATTTCTCCATGGCATTTTCTGTTGCGAAAACTCCACTGTTTATGGCATATGGTTGAACAATAATTCAACGTGCACATTTCATTAGTAAGAATGCAATTTTAAGTTTTCTCTTATAATGCATATCTTTGAGTGCTACTCAAAGATGTGTCAGCATCACGCCATCAGGACAACATTTGCTGCGAAATGTAAACCTACCGTATTTTCACGACAATAGGGCGCACTTTGAAGTCTTACATTTTCTGCAAAATGGGCGACTAATAACGTGGGGCACCAAATCTATTTACTGTGTTCCAAAATCTGTTTATGTTGCTGTGTGACTTCAATGAGCGCTCCGCTTGACTGTCTGATGTTATGCAGACACGTTGTTTATGTAGTGGAAAGGCGGATGTAACTGAGGACGGCGTGCGAACGTTAAAGGGGAGTGGGGCGGGGGCATGAAAGAGGACGTTAAAGGCTGGCTGCCGGTACGTGGATTGGACAAAACAAATTTGGACCCCTGAGAATGGCACTTATGAAGAGACACGCTTACGAAGCACAGTTCAAACTTCAAGCGATCAGTGACCCGCAGGAACATGGCAATCAAGCAGCCGCGAGAGAATTTAGGATAAACGAATCCATGGTTCACAAGTGGAGGAAACAGGAGAACGAGCTTCGCCAAGTCAAGAAGACAAAACTGAGTTTCCACGGAAACAAGGCGAGGTGACCCGAGTTGGAAGACCAACTCGAGCAATGAATTCACGGTCAAAGAAGAGTCGTCGGGAGAAGCGTCTCGACAGTCACCATTCGACTGAAGGCAAAAATGCGTGCAGAAGAAATGAAAATCGAACATCTTCATGGAGGTCTGTCTTGGCGCTTTTGTTTTATGAAACAATGCCAACTATCCATCCGGGCAAGGACTACCATGGCGCAGCAACTTCCAGTGGCCTACAGGGAAAACCTGACCACGTTCCGCTCCCATTGCCATAAAAAGATCGCCGACAAAGACACCCAGGCCAACTACATTATCAACATAGACGAGGTGCCGCTCACTTTCGACATCCTGGTGAACCACACTGTCAAAAAGAAGGGGACCAGCGATACGCTAAATGGGGCACGAGAAGTCGGCTTTTACTGTTGTGCTTTTGTGCCATAGCAATGGACAGAAACTGCCACCTATGGTGACTTTTAAGAGAAAGAGACTTGAGGAAGAAACTCCAACCACTGGACATCGGTGTAAACAGAGCATTCAAAGTGAAGTTGCGAGCGGCGTAGGAGCGATGGATGAGAGACGGCGAACACAGTTTTACAAAGACTGAACGGAGAGCCGGACAAGTGACGCCACAATTTGCGAATGGCTTGTGGATGCTTGGGCTAATGTGTCTATTGGGACTGATGTTCAATCTTTCGAAAAAGCTGGCCTCATTTTTGAGGAGCAGCAACAAGACTGACTCTGACAATGACGAGAGGGAACTGGGCATGTTTGATTGTAAACTTGCCGAGCTGTTCATTTCGGATGCAGAAGATGAGGACTTTGATGGATTTGTGGATGAGGATTGATCCAAATATAACACAAGTACAGTGTTAAATACTTCAGTAAAGTACGAATTCAGTTTCGCTCCTGCCAGCTTTTGAAAAACATACGCTAGCGTCCATGCCTGCGTGCTACCGTATTGTTTAAACCAGCGTATAATACTGTCTACTGTACTTATTTTATTTTTAGCGTGTTCAAATGAAAGAAATATGAGAAAATGTACATGGTGGGGTTTACAGCCTTAATACATATAGCATAATTGAAAAAATTATATATATATATATATATATATATATATATATTAAAAACAATTTTCTTACTTCACAGATTTCTCCAATAGCGGGTTAATTTTGTTAACCTCTGTAGTGTGGGACTAGATAGTGATAAGAGGATATTCGGACACAGCCAGTGTTTTCAATGGAAAAAAATAGAGTAACAAGTTGTCAGCCCCAGTGGCAACGCAAGATGGCTGGCCTCTGGCTTCCGGGGCAAAGGGTCTATTGATAGTCCATTCATATACAAGACCATAATGCTGTCTCGCTGAGGCTGCGTGTCACACGCTCGCTTGCTCCCTC